GTTTGATTTTTTTGATAAAATATAGGAGAAAGAGAATTTCCGTTGAAACTATAATTATTTCGTGACAACTCACAATAAGATGCTCTTGTCTCGCTCGCACGCTTTCTAGAACATTTCATTACCGTGCATTAACTGCACGTATATTTGGAATATTCTGGATTCATAGAAAACGAACGTTATTAACGTAAAAATCGATATAGAGAAAATTAGTTTAGAATATTCCAATGCTTTCAACATTTATTCAAAATCTATTGCACACATTCGTCACTCATCAATATATCTATTCTCACACTCAAATACATCCATTCTCACAATATTAATTTATTTGTATTATTATATTCAATATTATATTATATATTCAGTATATTATATTCAAGTGTTTGGTAACTTTTATATATTTCAATATTGTTCCTTTATGTTCTCGCTGCTCTGTAACCACCATCATAGCCATGTATCCCTTAAAAATATTTTCCTACAGAAATTGGCGTACCATATATAATTTTACTAACTAATCTAGCTAATGTTACATCATCCACGATGAAAATTAACAGTGTTACAACATTTATTAAACCTTCTATTTTCCTTCTGAGTACCACATTTCGCTATGTTGAAAGTTTGATAATCTTAGGGTAGCTTTTTTGAGATTCACAGAGATTTACAGAGTTCAAAGGGTTAAACAAATGGTTAAAAATATTAGAAATTCGTGTAACGTCCAGTGCTGCAAGATTTGAACAAGAGTCTAAAGGGAATATTCCAGAACTCTGCGAGATCTCGAGGTGGACGTAGTATTATAAATGACGAACCATGTAATTAGGTGCTTCGTTGGCCGATAAATTATTAACCCTTTGCACTCGAGGGGCTTACAGTCGCCAGCTGATTCGACGCAGCAAACTTATAAAATTTTCAATTCAATATTAAACCTTGTGTAATGTATCAGCACATAAAACATCGATGTGAAATAGTTCTGTCTCTTAATTTATAGAAGACAATCAATTGTATCAGTTGCGAAAAATATCGTTAATATCTACTCAGAAAGTATTGAATATCTTTAATGAAAAATCTCGAGTGCAAAGGGTTAATACATCCACAAGGGTATATTTTTTTAAACATTTCTACTTTCCACTCTTTCCCATTCGGCGACTGAATTCTCAAAATTGATAACTTCGAAACGAAGCAGCTCAGAATTTAGTAACCGTCGAATTGCATGACTCGCGCGAGGAAGATCAAAGCGCTGTACGTTCCACTCTTCCCCATTCGGCGACTGAATTCTCAAAATTGATAACTTCGAAACGAAGCAGCCCAGAATGAGTAACCGTCTAATTGCATAAGTGACTCGCGCGGGGAAGACGCTCAAAGCGTTCCGCGAGTGACACTATTGAGCATCACATGTTCCCGGGAAAGCAGGGCGCATATTGGATGCAGACGGAATACAATTCCGTCGTATATACGGTTACATTCGTCCCTGGAAACCGTTGAATTTCCTCCCTCGTGGAAGCCGCACAAGTCGGTTAAGTTGGTTCAAGGTCAGCCGCCGGTACAGTCCGCCGCCGCTGCGTTTACACCGAATTTATTTGCTTGCCAACTGTGTATCGTAAAAAAAAAGGAGAGAGAGAGAAGTCAAATAAACGCTCGACATTCTTTGCATACCAGTCCAATGAACAGTACATAAAACTTAATATATTCAAATTGTATCCTTCACTCTCTGTAACTGTAAACAATCGAATACTGCTCTGTCACGCGTGCAAACTTCGCAAGTCTCTGGCAATTTTTCTTTGTGACAGCTGGGAATAGTTCGAAACGTCTCCAGAAACAGTGAGGTTTAAGTGACCTTACCTTGTTTACGAGTAAAGGTGACTTTACACCTTCTGTTTGACAACAAACAAAGGATTAACCGTTTCCGGAGTGCTCTTGGTTCATAGAATGACGCATTATACTGTAGGGTTAGTAAAATAAAAACTAAGTCCGTAGTCAGGTTAAATATATTTATTACGCGATGTGGCTCTAACGAGGAATGGCGACTAACTGCTTTTCTCCAACTGCTTTTCTAAAAAGGAAAACTCTTCAGACGAAGGGCGTACGTGACCCAGTACATGGTGGTCCCCTTGATCGACAAGCAAAAGGGCGAATCGTCTACAATGCAAAGTTTAGTATTAATCCCTTGGCCTATGATTTCCTTCTCAACTCTGTCATTAATAATTTTCTCGACTTTGTCATTAATAATTTGTTGGAAAAAGAGAAAAATTCTGAGCATATGTTACGCTTATACTTCCTTCTAAGTATAATAGTTGATTAGGAATAATACTTACTTTGAATTCGAATTAACTGAGTAATATATATATATTTGTCGAATCATCTTGAAAATCTTCACGATTCTTGGTTAGGTCGATTAATAATTTATTGGAAAAAGAGAAAGATTCTAAGCATATATTACGCCTATATTTCCTTTTAAGTATAATAGTTGATTAGGGATATTTACTTTGAATTCAAATTAACCGAGTAATATATATTTGTTGAATCACGTTGAAAATCTTCACAAGTCTTGGTTAGGTAAATTAATAATTTATTGGAAAAAGAGAAAGATTCCAAGCATATGTTACGCCTATATTTCCTTTTAAGTATAATAGTTGATTAGGAATAATATTTACTTCGAATTCGAATGAACTAAGTAATATATATATATTTGTTGAATCATCTTGAAAATCTTCACAAGTCCCACTCGTAGGGCAAGGGGTTAAACATCAAACTTTATTCCACTGTATCAAACCAAGCGGTGAGAGTCGCCTCCCGAGTGCAAAGGGCAAATAACACGGAAACGTTCGAATGTCTCTACGCAACCCGGTGTCATCCCGTTTCCTCCAGGTGTGCCATTCGATAAAGCACGGCTCGCGAATGAATGGGAGAATACCCCCGTAATATTCGTCCAAATAAATCGTACGCGCGGAATAATACAGGTCAGGAACACGATCGATGTATACTTCCTGCTCGATTACCCGCGCGCACGTGCAACGGAACAATAGAAGTCGAGGCGAATCAATTTTTCCATTGATTTCCGGTCGCGACGTTATTTGGTTACCGAACGCGATCGGACAGTCCGTCTACGGCGCCCCCCTTCCGATCGGTAAACACGAAAATCGCGATGGTATCGGCGTCGCTCGGTTGCAGAGATAAAAAGCTTGTTTATTGACCGAAACAATACGGCTCCGTCTCGTCCCGTTCCGTCTCGTTGTTGACCGACGCTTAACGGGCACGTTGATTCGTCACGATCCCGGCAGTAAAACACGCAGTCAGCGGCATTACAATAATGTGTTTAGGGATCGTGGCTAATGCTCGTAAATCTTCGCCCGTTAACCGGTTGATTCTCCTAAAATGGACAACATAAACGTACAAGTGAAAAGTAAAAATGATTCTGAGTAATTTACTATACAATAAGACTACTCTCGATCCGTATCGCTACGGATATAATTTCCACGGTGGAATTCGAATTTTTACCGATTCGAGGGAATCAGATGCTTCGAGAATATCCTCGACGTTCGTGAAAAATCTCTGCGAAGAACGCAGCGCGAACGACGCCATTACACATTTGCAAAACGCCGCATCGATTTTACTCGAGAGAGTCGGACTTGAAAATGAAAATAGATATCAGGTAGTCGCGGACGTTCGGGATTGAATAAAATTGCTGATAGCAGCGGTGCTCAGTTTAGACGATTGTCTTTTCGGCCAGTGTGTATCATTGGTCGGGGACAGCTTAAAATCCGCTATGTCGAATTCGCGGAGCATGCAGTCTCGTAAAATGCTCGGTCGTTTCAGCGTTAACCACTCCCCACTGTTTAACGTTCGCGTCGGGCACCGTGGAAGTTTCTAGAATGTCATCGAAGTACGTTACGTGCATTCGCTTCGCTCGTTGAACCGTAAATAGAACCGAACAAGTTCGAGCCCTTCGAGCGGCGGCGGTGGATAGGTGAGATACACCTTTCGGCGGTATTGCGGGGAAATATTTTCAGACGATACAATGGCGTCGTTTGCTGATGTGGCAACCGAGGCTGGGGACGTTTAGCGTGGAAGCCGTTGGGGGACAGCGTACGTGACGAGAATGGCGGCGCGAATGGCGTGTGGCGCGTCCTGGCGTCATCTGCCGGCGCCGCCGTTCCCGGATGACTTCCGTGGTACCGCGTCGCGCCGCGCGATGACGCCACGATGCCGAAACTGGACTGGGCAGTACCGTAACTGATGATTCAACCGTTCGCTACCAGCGTTCGTTTCGATTATTGTTTCGAATATTTTATTCGATTCGATGAATCTAAAGTATTGAGAGGAATGAAGCTAAATGAGTCATTGAATCTCTGTAATTTTGTAATTTGTAGGTAACTGTATCTATAATTAACCCTTTGCACTTGAGAGGTGACACGTAATTCATACAGTAAAACTAAAATTTGATATTTAACACGTTGAATGCCACGATTCCATAGAGCAAACTACACAAAACGGAAAAATATATTATTAAGCCATTTGATTGAATTGTATTATTATTATTATTATTGCACGTTCGTGTAGCCGAATGTCATTAGGTAGCGTTGTTTATAATATAGAAATGTTTCCAAATAATCGTCTTTTAATTCAATGAACTATAGTAATCTGATTTGATTGGGGTCACTGGTGACCCCCCATGGTATTCAACGTGTTAATATTATACTTCGTATAATGCATCAATTTGAGAAATATTGAAGTAAAATAGCTTTGTTCATTAAAATATTTAATAGTATAAATGGTGTCATATTGGAGTCTACAGAGTGCAAAGGGTTATCTCTAAACACTTACGTTTTCTGTAGGTCCCTTGGGGATCAAGATTTCAGTAAAGTTTCACAGTAATTGTAAAATAAGAAATTAGGAATTGGTCATTTTCACCCGTCTGGTAGTACTAGTGTTAAGGCACCTTTTTACAGGTATCCTGTCGACGATAATTCAGTAAAAGGTCAAGTTCATTGTTAACGTCTTCTTTGCAGTGTGCAGACTTCGTGAAAGCAGGGGCAGAACAGGGTTTAACTCCGTCAGATGTTGTGCTCGCCGCCGACATTACATTCTCCTGCGTGGCTGATCCTCAAGCTGCCAAAGATGTGAGTATAAACATAATGCTCCTCTTCAACCCTTTGCTGACGAATGGCGACATTTCGATCAGACGAAATTTTCATACTTGGAATACTTAGTTACAAACGAATGACTTAATTACTTGAATGGCAAGTGATCAGTGTATAGTTCCTTTTTTTTATTATTATTTAAGCATTCAATGTATAATTTAGCTTCGTGTACTTTAACCCTTTACTCCAGAAGTTTTCCCCGGAAATATTCAATATTTTCTAATGAGACACAGATGACATTTTCTTAAATCGAGTTAAGAAATCTCACATGCATTCAGGAAGAGAATTATTTTTAATATTTCATTGATGCATTATACGAAGTTTAATATTAAATATCAAAGTTTACAGTTTTGTTGTTTCAAATCACTTGCTCGAGTGCAAAGGGTTAAAGAGTCTTCGTCCGCAAAGGGTTAATCCGTGTTGCACGCAATATTTCATACACATATAATTGACACGTGAATTTTTCTAGATGGTCTTCGGGAACTGCGGAGTCCTGACAGAGATATCCCCAGAGAAGGGATACGTGGAGATGACGGGCATAGACGCGGAGACGTCGCAGGACATCGCCGAGGCGATAACCGCGAAAGGCGGTCGTTACTTGGAGGCCCAGGTACAGGGTAGCAAAACACAGGCGCAAGAGGGTACACTGGTGATCCTCGCGGCCGGGGACAGAGCGTTGTTCGACGAGTGTCAGTCTTGCTTCGAGGCAATGGGGAAGAACAGCTTTTACCTAGGCGAGGTGGGGAACGCTTCCAAAATGAACCTTGTGCTTCAACTGATGGCTGGCGTCACTCTGGCCGGCCTAGCCGAGAGCATGGCGCTAGCGGATCGCGCTGGTCTTCAACAGAAAGACGTACTAGAGGTGTTGGAGTTGACATCATTGGCTTGCCCCGCGATCCTCGACAAAGGAAAAGGTATCGTGTCACTCAATCTCTAACACTCTGCCGTCCACGTCTCGTAAAAATTTGGCGGCAGCACTAATTCGGATTACTTGTCAACAAAAACTTGTTTGTGTAACTTATTGTCACCTAACACCTAAAAGAATTGATGCTCGTTTACTTAGATTGGGGAAACTGAAGATTGAATAGTAGGTAATTGGGGTACATGTCAGTGTGATCAATCAGAATCGGCGTAAACATTTTCAAAATAATATTTCTAAAATCCAGTAGGCGTCAATTTGCGTTCTAAACCTAGTGCTAAACGAGACACCAACAGAATGCAAACTAAAGTGCTGCCGGACGGTATAGTGTTAATAATTCAAGCGAGTCGCCCAGTGACGAAGATGCTCAAGGCCTTTTTCCTTTTTAGCCATCATCGAGGGCGGTTTCCCAACGCAGTTACCACTGCAGCACATGCAAAAAGACTTAAGACTCTCTTTAGGTATGAGCGACCAGCTGGAGCAGCCGTTGCCGCTAGCCGCCGCGGCGAACGAAGTTTACAAGCACGCTAAACGCCTTGGTTACGGAGAACACGATGCCTCCGCTGTTTACATCAGAGCCAGGTTCTAACGGAGCGCATGCATCGTCGAGCTTTCGCTATACCATATTTATTGCAATATCTAAACGTTGTTTCCCGTCGCTACCAGAGAAGAGTAGTGGGCTGTTTGTTGAGAAGTAACGGAACCACCGTCGGACGCGCAAACAAACGCGTCGCGCGACAATTGTCGATCGCGAGATTGTTGGGACGGCAATGTTGTTTCCGTTACCGCCGGAGGAGAGCCGAGAACCGAATTGGACGCTACGCGGATCGCGTATTCAGTACACTTACTGCACACAGATCGATCAATGTATAAATGTACTTGTACATTTCCCTTTTTTTACGTGGCTTTTTCGTTCGCTGGAAGACTCTTTTTGTGTATACCGCGACGACTTTGGTTTTTCTTTTTCATTGTACTTCTCTTCTTCTTCTTCTTTTTTTTGCGCTTTTCTGTTTTAATACTTGGCCACTACTTTTCTCGAGAACTGCGTGGGTTTATGGTAGCCGATCTCTCGAATCGCATCCCGACTTCGATCCCGTAAAACGCAACCCCTCGCTTGGAAAACTTGAGAGACTTGGGACGTGTTGAAAATGTGCCTTACGATACCCTTTTAAAGCAAGGCTTTCCTTTTTCCCTATTTCTTCTTCCCGTGTATCATGCGGAGAATGATTTCTCGTTGATTTTGTGAATAAAT